GCATTGGCTGGTAGATGGCACACGGAGGAGGCCAACTCTATGAGATCTAATGGGTCTGTGGGAGGTAATTGGCAGCAGGCGGTCTCTCAAGTATAATATGGGGAAGCTGCTATAACAGATGTTAGTTAGGTATCCGTACTACCTTTCCTCTGTCAAAGATTTGGGAGTATAGTTCAGAGAGCGGTTTCTGAACTTTGTGGAGAGAGGAAAAAAGTAAAAAAAAATCCTTTAGGAATTTTGTAATGCCTCTCCATCCCAGTTCAGTCTAAAACCAGGGATCTTGAAACTCAGCAACTTTCTGAGAATTCTGGGAGTTGAAGTCCACAAGTCTCATAGTTGGCAAGTTTGGAGACCCTTGGCCAAATAGTGTCCTTTGACATTGTGCTACAAGCAATAAAGGGTACAATGGAAGGATTTGCCATTTGAAAATTTTCCTTACCCATATTGGTGTGGATTAATTCCATTTCAGTTCCTCATAAATTGCTCTTCAAGAAGAATTAATACTGAGATTCATACATCAAATTCAGAAAAAGTTGGTTTATTGTATTAAATCATGTTTGTCTGGATTCACCCAACATTCATATCAAATCCAAACAGAGCACTTTCCTTGTTAGTATAATGTGGAAACCTACCTAACGTTTTGACTGCCTTACTTACTTATTATTCTAGTGATGCTTGCAACCCTAAAAGACAGATCAGTGTCATATTAAAAACGAGACAGTATTTTTGCACAGGGAAAGTTTTTTCTTCCTTCCCCCTTCCCTCTCTCCCTTCCTGTCTGCCTGGAATAAACCATTTCAGCACATGCATTCTTTCTTAGTTTTTAGATGTTCTCCCAAACACTTGGCATAGGAATCAGCTTCTTTTTAAGCAGATATGTTTATCTGGGTATTTATTTTTCTGTTGGGTATGAGTTTGAGTACAATTTTCCCATCATTGAGTTTTGCTTGATGGAAGCTATAGCTTGGGATTGAAAGGAAGTGGGTTCCTCTATTTTGTGATGTTTATAGTGAGACTTCAAGCCAATCCCCTTCTTACAGTGTGAAGTACCATATGGGATGATTACAGACCTGTCATGGTGGTGAGAGAAAGGAGAAGTCAATGCACCTATCATTTAAGAAACTAAATAAATGTTTAACACCACTTGTTGATACCAGATTCCTGGTGATCTTATAAGAACATCATTTTGTATCCAGGATGATCTTGTAATGCTGTACATCAGTTTAGGAGAACTTCAGACTAACCTAAATATGTTCTGTTCGCAGATTCAATGAAGCAAGGTGTAAAATGACAGCGTATGAAAACATTTTTTTTTCCCTTTTGGGAAATTCTATAAAAATTGAGAGTGGGAGGGTAAAATAATTCTAATGTTCACTTTAAAAGAAATTTACAAAATAATTCACTTTAATTCTTCCTAATTCATCACAATTTGAGCATGCAATCAATACACTCCATTTGAGAATCAGTCTATCAGATCAATTATATGTAAGTGCAAATGCTTGTGATTTAAATATTGTTTAAATATTTAAATAGTGATTTAAATAACCTGAAAGGTTATACATACAAAGAACTGGTTAATTTAGAGTATTTATTATACTATGTTATCAGTTAATATTGTAAAATTAATGCATTAAATCTTGTATCCTAATTCCCTAACATACATTCCTCATGTTTTTATAGGGAACAAGTGGCCAAAGAAATGTCAGAATACTTATCTAGGTGGGTGTAACAGATTGCCAGAAAGAAATCAGTTTAATCACCAAATGCAATAACTATAAGATAAAGTTAATTTATAAATTCCATTAAATTAATTTATGTAAAAAAATATACATTCTAATCAATGATCATTCACTGCACCACTTTAGTACCCATTTCCTTTCTAATTCACTATTATATTTATGAATTGCATGAATAGGAATTACGTTTTGATAAAGTTTTGCTATTATTTTGCTCTAGGGAGAATTAGTCTGTTCTCTCTTTTTTAAAAACTGGGATGCGATGTCAAGCATCCCCAAATTCTTAATTTCCCAGCATTAGACGTTTACATAGAGAACTAGGTCTTCACATAATGTGTCCATTTGGTTTTTTCCGAAACTGTTTAAAAACAACCTGAGTCATTTCAGATTACGTTTATGATTAGTCTGTAAATTAGCAATTTGCAATCTAAATTTCCTTTCCTCTTAAATAAATATGCCTAAGAAGCATGTCATGGATGTTACCAATCTTTGCACTTGTCTTTTTGATGAGTCCTCCTTTCCGCTTTGCATTCTTGACCATAGTTGTTCCTTTCTTGAATACTTCTCCATTTTTTGTTTCTTTGGATGTTTTTAGGGGACCTACAGTTCAAGCTACCAAAGCTGCAGCTGGCATTAAAAAGCATGACCTTAGCAAGTGGAAGTATGCAGACTTACGAGATACAATCAATACCTCTTGTGGTGAGTGTTGCCCTGTTTGGAATGTAGGGAGTGTCAGGATACATCAATATTTGGATTTTTTTCCTCTCTCACACAGAGTTTTGAAAGCCTACAGTATATAATGAATTGATACCTTTTGTTTTTTGATCGCTAAATAATTCTTTATTCAGCTCTAAAGGAGAAAATGCCTTGAACAAAGTTACTTCAAGCTGCTCCATATGTCAAAAGAAAAGAAAAAAGGGTGAAGCATTCAAAACTAAGCCGCGTGTAAGAACCAGCAGGGTTAATTAACTGAATATAATGCAAAGTCATTACATTTAAACTTAACCTAAAATGATTATTGCTAATGACTTTTAAATAGTTTGCTTGGTCTATTGTCAATATCAACCATTTACATTTAAAGTTGAGTGCAATTCATGGGCTTGAAAGCTTTCACTCGTTCAGATGTGTTGGAGATAAGAACCTGGAAGGCCGTAGTCTGCCTATACGGCTTATATCAGATGTTCCTCGTTTTTGCAGAGTTGTTTCTAGCAAGCTCAGGATTGACAGATTCAGATTAACTAAGGGGCCTGTTAAATGCAATGGACTCTCCTTTCTTTTCCCCAAGCTAGGATACTGGTTCAGATCCATCCTCATATCCTATTTTTCTTTAAAAGGGAAAACATGCTCATTCTAAATTGGATGTGATATTAAATCTCCTAATTAGGGAAAGATAGGGATATGCCTTATACCTAATTAATCCATTAGTTTGTCTAGCCAGTATTATCAAGCTGTCTGGCAGTAGCTTTCCATCCCTCCTTGCAGATGATGGGGATCACACAGGCGACCTTTTGCAGGCAAAGCAGGTGCTGAGCTACTCAGCTCCTAAATAGGCACTATTAGACTGGTAAGAGATTATATTGCCTCCCTGAGAGCCATTTTAGTGTAATAAATACACTGGGGTAGGAACTGTGAGGTTGTGAGTTCTAGTCTCACCTTGGGCACAAAGCCAGCTGGGTGACCTTGAGTCAGTTACTTTCCCTCAGTCCTAGGACAGTGACAAACCACTTTCAAAAGTGTTGCTGAAAACATTCCATGGACTTGCCCATGCAGTCCCCAGGAGTCAAGACTGACTCAAAGACAGATACACACACACACACACACACACACACACACAAACACACACAAACACACACACAAACACACACACACAAAATAGCAATAGCAATTAGACTTATATACCGCTTCATAGGGCTTTCAGCCCTCTCTAAGCGGTTTACAGAGTCAGCATATCACCCCCAACAACAATTGGGTGACTAATCTGACAACTGCAGTGAGTGGTAGGTGGAAGGATTGATGTGGAAAAACAGAGA